TTTCATCCTATATGACAGCGAGGATTCTTGGCCCTCCTATAACAGAAAACTCACTTCTGTGCTCTTGAGTTTCTCTATAAGAACTTTTATTGGCATACGCATAGCACCAATGTTGTAGTTGCAAGATCATACAAAAAGATTACGCATGCTTGGCAGAGATCTCACGGGTGGAAATAAGACCATTGGTAAAGCTCATGACACCAAAAGGGATAGGTATTCCATATGGTATCACAGCGTTACTATTATTGGCCTATGTGTGAGGAGGATACTGCACCTTAGTGGTTTCAACTTAAATCAAAAATTTTGACTTTACAGACTAATTTTGTTTTTAAACGCTCTTTTGCATTGGCCAACGAAAAGCTCTTATTAGGCGCCGCGAAGTAAGCGGGCATTGGCTAGTTATTAATAGAATTATTATTAGATCACCCCTTTACTTCATTATTTATTACGGTATGCATAAAATAATGCTTTCTAGCCTTATAGGCACTCACGGCTCTTTTATCCTTTGAAACTAAATCATCTTTAGTCCTTGAGTGCATAGAGAGGCTCAATTCCCTTGGTAGGCACAACAACATCAAACTGGCATGGGTGCCATATGGCCATATGGGAATAGAGGGGAATGAAGCGGCGGACTGTCTCGCTAGACAGGCGGCAGCCATTACTCCGGTTGGCCCTGAGCCCTTCGTGGGAGTGGGTCCCAACACTATTAAGGAAGAGCTCATGGAGGAGAGGAACAGAATGCGACAGATATGCGACAGGCAAAAAGCCTGCTAGGAGGGTATAACAAGAGGAGATTCAAGAGCTTAATTAGCCTTCCAAAGGAGAAGCTGAGAATATTAATAGGTTTTCTTACAGGACACTGCATACTGGGAGGGCATATGTATATGCGTGGGATACGATCGAATGACCTTTGCAAGTTCTGCGACGTATCGAGTGAAACACCACTCCACATCCTCATCGAGTGTGAGGCAGTCAGCAGAAGAGAGGAGTTTAGGCTCTATGTGACCACAGTTAGAGCACATTCACTCCTTATCCCCGAAGAAGCTTTGGAACTTCCTTAGGGATCTTGGCTTGGAGGAAGTATTGTGAAGAGTGGAGGGCACAATAGATCATTATGTCGCAGTGCATACCTCATAATTTATCTATCTATCTATCTAACCTTATAAGTACGGAAAAAGCTTATTACAAAGCAACAGTTGCGAAGTCTCGCAAACTGAATGAATCGACTTCTGGGTTAGAAAGCGATGATATTCTATCCACGAGTAGAGAAGCATTTTGCCGCGGAATAAATAATGATCTAACGTCCAGCACTATGGAAGTGTTTCCTGAATTAGATATCGATGAATATAATAGCAATGATGACAGGTTTTTGGTTGAAGATGTCGAAAGTGATGATAGCACCGAAGAATCTGCAAAGAAAAACCTAAGCGAGGAAATTGGTAGGGGGTTAAAAACGTGGCAATCAAAAATAATATTTGGCAAAATAGTCTAACGGACCTCCTAAAACCTTACATAATGCTGGACTTAACGGGTTACCTTTAACTGGAAGTAGAAAAGTAGTTCAAATTCGACCTTTTCCTGAAGGTGAATTTTTGTATTTAGGAATACAATATAATTTTAATTTCAAAGATTTTGATTTGTTAGAAAATACCGAAAGAATTTCGATAGATGTCGGTATAGATGGTTTGAAATTATTTAAAATCTCTAATAGGGCATTGTGGCCCATTTTGAGGCATGTAGAAGCTTTTCCTAATTCGGTCACATTTACTATTGCATGCTTCTCAGGAATGAGTAAGCCATCCGATGTTAATAATTTCCTTTCTGAGTTTTGCGAAGAGATACAGGCTGAATTTCTTTATTCATTCTGAACGTTTGGAATAAACTTTTTTGTTTACTTATTCTTTAGAACGTTCCTGATGATATGTTAACGTATATTTCAAACGCATTCTGTTTATTCTGGCTGTGAAATGGGATTATCCGGAATGTATAAAGAAACGCAGCCACAAATTCTCAGTCAGAGTGGTGTAAGGGTGGGATCTAAGCAGTAGTGCTAATCACTAACTTTTAACAATGCGACTTGTCGAGTTGTAAGCTAACAATTTTTGTTGTTTGCAGTAACGATTGTGCGATTCACTAACTGTGCTGCCGCTAATGAGCACAAATCCGTTGCATATGCCAAGGCGCTCGTGTGAGCACAAAGTTCACAAGCATTTTATATGGAAGAAAATGCGCAACACCCTCGACTAGCGACTGGAAACTTGCACTTTATTGGACTCAAATTTAATGGGCTACAAAACTGCATACCAGAAAATTTTATAAAGATTCTGAATAAAAAGTTTGAAATCTTGGTGAAAATTTTTTTAAAGTTTGATTGATTTTTATGATTTTTTTGCAAGCTTTGAAACTTTTATTTATGTGGTTTCTGTTGTTATATAGTAGATGTAACTATTAAAAATAAAATTATTAAAAATAAATAAATACACATAAGTAGCAAACACCATAATTTTGAATTTTGCTGCCTTATTTTACTCGAAGCTGTAAATAAAAAGTTTACAAAAAGCATGTAACATGAAAAAGATTGTTAATATTAAAAAATAATCAGTGTATGCACATTTTGTACATATTTATTTTCAAGACTCATTTTATTATGCTAGTGTCATGATGATTAATAAAGAAATATTTAAATATGCACATACATATGTAATTTTTATATTTTTAATAAACGATCTACACGTATTAAATTTGAAGCTTTAATTATTCAATTATTTTAAACACAAGGCATATTCAGTTCTTGCAAGATTAAAAAAATAGACTTATCACCTTTTAACTTCCAGTTTTCTATTTTTGTTTTACGCCCTATTTGAAAATTATAACCGGAACAGATATATACAAGTTTTAACATACTATTTTTTTTTTTTATTTAATTTATATTACTAATTTTTAATAGTGTATTCTGCAATATTTAAAGGAAATTCAAAAAAATTTCGTAAAACTTCAAATTTTTAATCAGAATAATAAAAACCTTATGTATGTAGTTTTGTAGCCCATTAAATTTTAGTACAATAAAGTGCAAGTATGATTTGCTGAAAAATCCTTTGATTGTTTTTTTTTTGCTAGCGGTGTTGTGCATTTTTTACATAGGAAAAAATTGCAGAACACACCTTTTATGTTTTATTAACAACACCAATATAGACGTCATCAAATTATCGGCCTTTATTATCGTTAACGGCAACAGCTGATTTGGCGCTAACGAATGTTGTTAAGGAAACGTTTACTGAACAGCTAAATTGTTAAAATTGTCATTTAGCTGACTTAACAATAACAAGAGTTGTTAAAATCGCGTAGTGAATCGCACCACAGGTTTTAAAAGAATTTAGTGTAAACTTTTTACATGTGACACACCAGCTCGCGCCTTTATAACTGCCGTGAAGTCGCACACTGGGAAAAACAGCTGCCCTATATGTCTTCAACAAGGACAGTATAAAAAAATGGGGTCGGTTCTTCTCAAAACGTTGGAGAATTAAGAACAAATAGTTCGTTTAAGAATAGAGTAGATATAACACATCATTAAGACGAATTTAGACAGTGTGAAATCTTGCTAGAATCTGTAAATATTAGCATGATTTCTAAATTTCCGTTAGAACGCATGCATCTAGTTGACTTAGGAGTAACTAAAAAACTACTCCAGTTGCTTATTAAAAGAGGGAACGTAACGAAGATGAATGAAAAAATATTATCTCTGAATAAGTTCGTTCCCTCTGAATTTTCCAGACTCAAGAACGAGTCGAGATCTGGATGAAATAAGCAACTGGAAGTCGACAGAATACCAGCAATTTTTATTGTACTCGGAGTTGTTTGTTTTAAAAGACTGCATACCGGATAAAACGTATTACCATTTTCTTTTGTTGCATGTCGGTATCTGCCTTCTCTCTTGTGAGAAGTCTTGTCAAGTAGAATCTAATGTCTCTAATGAAATGTTAAAAGAATTTGTAAAGTTCTTTAGTAATTTTTACGGCGAACATTTAATCATGTCATCAATGTCCATGGTCTTTTGCATTTAAGTGATTGCGTTACACAATTTGGTCGTTTAGACAATTTTTCTGCATATAAATTCGAAAGTTATATGCAATATATAAAGAAATTATTAATAATCCAAATAAAATATTGCAGCAATTATTTTAAAAAATAGAAGAACGAAGACATATTACGGATTCTAGCAAACTTTCACAAATAGATAAGTTTATTATAAATTGTAAAAAAGAAAAAGATAGTTTCTTCTTTAGTAAAAAAACGGGATCCCCTAAAAGTTGTCAACCAAGAAACCTAAACAGACAGTTTTGGCGTTGTAGTTTTGACAAAGTGTGGCGCCAGCTGTTTGCCAGATACTTCTGTATGTGCATGTATGTGTGGAAGAAGTGGACCAAACATAAGTAAATCCTACATCTACGTTAGCGGAGTGTATATGTATGTGGGTATGTCCATCGAACATACGTGCATAGGTAGTGTGATCAAACATCTATGTTGACCAAATGGGCCTGTAGGCGGTCTTGGATGTTTGATCGAACGTAGTTGGTCAAACGTTATTGATATGATACTCAGAGAAA